GAGGTTCAATCTGATAATCCTCCCACGTACGAAGAAGCAATTGCAGAACCTCAAAATTCTGCAAATATTGGTATAAAATTGATAAATATTCAAAGTTTTTTTTCAAGTTTCAAAGTAAACTTTTAACCAAATATTAAAATTTATTCAAAAATGTCTACTGAAATTTCTGAAAATACTATCTCTTCAGAAAATAATATCTCTAATTTGGAAACTGAACAAGAAGAAATATCTATTAATTCTAATAGGTTAAGTGACTATATTGCTCAAAATATATCACTTCATGAACGAATTAAAAAATTAGAAGAAACAATTAGTTAGTATTTTATAAATTTTTATAAAGTTATTTTAATAAATTATTATTAATAATTGTTTTCAACTATAGTTTCTTACAAAAAATATTTCAAATATTTAATTATAATATTTGTAATAATATTTTTGATTATTTTAATTTCGTTTGGTATTTATATCTGGTATACAGTAAATGTACATCAAATAAATGTTCATTTACTATCTCGACAAGTTGAAGTTGAGATTAAAAGAGAAGTTTTTAATAATCATTTAGATTTAATTAAACGTCAATTTTTAGAATTTATTGATTCTGTTAAAATGAAATAAATATAAATATTTTATATTTAATATTTTATATAAATAAATAATTAAAAAAAAAAGGTTTTCTTGTTCAGTTTTCGAATTAGAGATATTATTTTCTGATTGGAAGACTGACCAAGAAGATTTTTTTTTTTACAAGTTTTATATTTAATTTAATATTTTTAATTTTTTTTTTTGTAAATGAAAAATTAATTATTCATTATTTTCTTTACTGATTTTTTGACGTTCAGAAATCTGATTGTAATTAAGATGCTAAGATTTGATTGGTCAGATTTTCAAAGTATCAAAAAAACTCTGAGAATTTTTCACGCTTTGAACAAACTCTATAAAAAAACTCTGAGAATTTTTCACGCTTTGAATGAACTTATTGAATTTGTTTATTATAGAAATTATTATTGTTTTAAAAAATAAAAATATTTATTTAAAATTTAAAATACATTTTCCATTAATTTTAATATTAATACCATTAA